CTTTAGCCATGTGACCCAAGTCACATCGGTGTGTAGAAAACAATGCTTTGTGAGGTTTCAAGGAGTTGTCTATTACAGAAGCAGCAGTTGAGCTGAACCTTTGAAGGATTTGTTGGGATTTTACTGTGTGGAGAGAAAGAGTGGTGTATTTTAAGAAAAAAAAAAGGTGTAGAAACGAATCATGTAGTTTAGTGACATTGTGTATGTATGTGTATGTGCATCTATAGCAGTTTGGAAAAACATGAATCCTAATCAAGAAACAAAAAAATTGATGTCAGATTAGAAAGAGTTTATATTGAACTTTTACAATATTATCCTGAACAAACAAAAACACGTTGTTGAAAACTAGGGGCGTTGAGTGGAGACCCGAAGCCCATCTATGGACAATGGAACATCCCCCCACAGAGGGTTCAAGGGAAGGGATGAGTCAATCAGGGTGCAGTAGAGCACTAATGGATCATGCAATATACCTCTGATCCTTTGAGGCCTCCCCACCCCCCACTACCATGACCCCAGTGCTACTTCCCACTCTGGACTGGATGGGAGCATGTACATAGGTATAGGCAAGAGATAAAGCTCATGACACATGGAACCCAGGAACAGGAATGGGAATAGTTATACAAAAATGGTAGCGGGAAGGAGGTGGAAAGGAGGGGAGGAAAGGTGAACCAAACCCAATGAATGATACATAACTACACACACCCCGCCCAGGGGGAAGAACAACAGAAACCAGAGGGGAAGGGAGACAGCGGTCGGTGTGAGATATGAAAATAATAACAATCTATAAGCTATCAAGGCGCCATGAGAGTGGGGGTGGGGGAGAGAAAAGAGGAGCTGATCCCAAGGGCTCAATAGAAAATGTAAATGTCTGGAAAAGAACGATGGCAACCTATGTACAAATATGTCAGATACAACTGATGTATGGATTGTGACAAGAGTTGTCAGAGCCCCCAATAAAATGATCTTTTAATAAAAAATAAAATATTATCCTGGATATACTAGGACCCACTGAAAGATTCCATGCAAGTCAGAGACATCATTAGCATAGTGTGAGTAATTGGAATAAAGGGAAAGGGACCTTAAGATTATGTTGTCATTTGAGAGTCTAAATAAATAAATAAGCCCAACGAGATGAAATTCCTCCTCTGGACAAATTAGCATGCCAGGGCAGGACCTGAAACTAGAATTCAAGACACCTTGTCCCTCAGGACCTGTTACTCTAACTTATGCTTCCTCTCCTTATTTTGCCTCTCCCGGTCAACAACTCACCTGCCCCGACACCTCCTTACACCCTTTCCAAAGTGTGGAGTAGTAAAACACAGACAGATAGAGCACAACTGGACAACGGTAGTCCAACGTAGATCCAAAGCCAGACTGCCTGCGTTGAAATCTTGGCTCTGCTCTTCCTCACTGCGTGACGTGGGGCAAGTTTTAAATTAATCTTTCCACAGCTTAGTTTCTTCATCTGGACAAGGATGTTCCCAAGTGCCGCCTCAAGGTCGCTGTAAGAAATGAATGTGAATATGTCCGTGGAGCACCAATACTGCTGCCACAGTGAATACGCTGGTTGTTAGCGTTGTACACATTTCTGAACATGTGCCTGTGGGGAACTAAGAGTGAGACATACACAGGCACTCTCATTGGGTCGTGCTGCACGCCCTTGCACTTGACAGATGCTCAGTTGTTTGCAAATTGAGAGCCGGTGACAAGTCTGCGTCCAACAAGTCAGTGTGTTTTTCCAACAGACTTTGTGTTTGTGTCATATTCTATTCATTAATTCTCCCCATCTTTCACACCCTTTCATAACGCACACTTAATAGCCGTATAGTATAAATATAACTTTGATATGTGCTAGGAAACAAAAAAAGTTTGTGTGTTTCACTTTATCATAGTAGTCTGGCAGTGAACCTGCAATATCATCAAGCTATGCCTCTCTATATAACTATATAAACAGATTCATTTCAAGGAAACTACTTACCTCACCTACTTCTACCTTAGGTTTGAGAATCCATGGCAATGGACACACAGAGGTCACACATGATAATCAGATTATTGGGGTTATTAGGGAAGTTAACAGGTTATCATTTAGAATCAGAAGTGTTCAGGTTACAGTTCTTCAGGTCAGGATAGTCTCTTTTCCGTCACACCCACACGCACACCTCTCCCTCTCCAAACCCCAGACTCTCAGTCGAGTGGCCTCTTGGCCCCTGTCCTGCTTGGCCAAGTGTTACAAATCTCCTTTAGCCCTGCTGATATATACAAATACTATTCTGCCATAAGCCTTCCCCCCAGAGGCACTCAGCTTTACTTGTTCCCTGGGCAGGAAACCTGCCATGCTGCTCTGACCCATGGCCTTGGTCTGCTGCCTCTGTTTCTGCCACTTCACAGCATCATTGCTTCTCCAGGACCACAACTCTCTGTCTCAAAGAAGCTCAGGGCAGGGAGCTCAAGGTCCAGAAGATGAGCTTCGCTATGGGCTCTTCTTTCATTCATTCATTCAAATATCATTTTATTGGGGCTCTTACAGCTCTTATAACAATCCATACACCAATTCATACAAATCAAGCATGTTTATACATATGTTGCCATCATTATTTTCTAAACATTTACTTTCTATTTGAGTCCTTGGTATCAGCACCTCTCTTTTCCCTCCCTTTTCCTCTCCCCCGCTACTGACCTCTTTATAAATGATAAATCATTTTTCATATCTTACACTGACTGCTGTCTCCCTTTCCCCGTGATTTCTGTTGTTCATTCCCCTGGAGAGGGTGTGTCTGTGTGGTTCTGTGTCCATCACTGTGATCTGTTGTCCCTTCCTCCTCTCCTCTCCCCACCTTTCCCCTACCCTACTGGTATCGCTACTCCCATTCCTGTTCCAGAATTCTGTGTGTCATGAGCTCTTATCTCTTATCTGTACCTGTGTACATGCTCCTATCTAGCCCATAGTGAAAGGCAGCACTGTAGTCAGGATAGTGGGAGGTGAGGAAGCCTCAAGGAACCAGAGGAATATTGTGTGTTTCATCAGTGCTATACTGCACCCTAGTTGACTCATCCCTCCCTTGTGACCCTTCTGTGAGGGGCTGTCCCATTGTCTTCAGATATATTTTGGGTCTCTGCTCTGACCCCCCCTCATTGTCAACAATATGGTTTTTGTTTGTTTTTGGTCTTCTGATGCCTGGTACCTGATCCCATGGATACCTCATGATCCTACAGGCTGGTGTGCTTCTTCCATGTGGACTTTTTGCTTCTCTGCTAGATGGCCGCTTGTCTAACTTCAAGTCTTTAAGACCACGGATGCTGTATCCTTTGATAGCTGGGCACCATCAGCTTTCTTCACCACATTTGCTTATGCACCCATTTTGTCTTCAGCGATTGTACCAAGAGGGTGAGCAGCACAGCATGCCAGGTTGTTAGAACAAAGTGTTCTTGTGTTGAGGCAGGGTTTGAATGGCTCTTCTTTCTTGATGGTTGTAAGATTCCCATTTTGGGTTCTGAGATGGCTCATTATAAACCCAATGTGATGGCAAAGCTGACCAATCCCCACATTATGTCTCTCAATCAGTTGGTGGCAGTTGCAAAGACTATGGCTAGAAGAATGATAATTCACTGTACCAAAGCTGGCAAATCCAAAATCTGTAGATCTTGTGATTTCTGATGGGATCCAGAGGGAGAATCCACATCTAGGAAAACCCTCCTTTCAACTGATTGGTTGGTAAGATCAGACCACATCATCAGCAGTGATTATATTACACTGCATTCCATTGCATTATGAACAGCAACTAATCCAATATTTGGCCAAATCACCAAGAATCATAGATTAGGCAAGTTGACATACAAAACTAACCATTACAGTTCATCAAGTATAAATGTGGCACCTATGGACATCTCCTTAAACCTTATATAATATCCACATAAATATTATAAAGCCACCCAACATGTTACAACTAACATGTATACAACCAAAAACACATTAACACCTTTTCCATCTTGTATTTTACAACAACCAAAAACACATTAACACCTTTTCCATCTTGTATTTTACAACTAACATGTATACAACCAAAAACACATTAACACCTTTTCCATCTTGTATTTTATGAGTAACGGGACAAGGGAGAAGTTACAGTGGTACAATGGATTAAGCAATGGGCCATTAACCAACAGGCCAGAATTCACCAGCTGTTCCGCAGGAGAAACACAAGACGTTCAGAAGCTGCGTGGAGCAGTTCTTCTCTGTCTCTACAATTAGATGCGCTGAAACACTCTGTAACGGCAGGTCGTTGTTGGGTTGGTCCATAAAACGCAGTACACACAAAAATGACTGTAGGAAGAACATTTTGCCTTCCTCCTTCAGGCAACCAACTATCAAACCCCAAGGCAAGGCCTTCTGCTCTCTCGTCTCCACAGTAGTCCACTTTCTTTAATTTATTTATTGATGTTTCTCAGACCCAAAGTACTTGCTATATATCAATGTAGCGCTTTGATGCATTTTCACAGACTGTACATACTCATGTAAGTAGAACCCAAATCAAGACATAAAACATTTTCAGTACCCAAAAAGCCTCTGTTGTGCACCCCTCCCCAGGAGAAATCACTATCTTAACCTCTAGCTGCTTTAACTAATCTTTTCTATTCGGGTATTTTATATAACTGCTATCATTATACTGTGTACTCTATTGTATCTGCATCTTATCATTCAGTGTGTGCACATAATATTCTTCCATTATTATTGTGAGTAGCCAGAATGGTTTAAATGTAATCTCTGGGGAGGACAGGCCAGCATGGTCATCAAGAGGTGTTATTTTATTTGCACATAGTGCATTAATCAATTTATTGCCTGTGTATATTTATTGAGTAGATGTTGCTAGCATAAGTGCCCTGTTTGCAGGTTTTCCTGGAACAGCTAGAATTCCATGTGTGTGTGTTTAATTATGAAACTATTGAATCATTCAAATTATTTACACTTCAACTTACTTCCTCTTGTTTGTATTGTCTTCTAGGTATAAAAACCAGGTTCCCATAAATGTCCACACAAATCCTGGAAAATATATTATTGAAAGTCGATATGGAATGCACACGCTGGAGATTAATGCGTAAGAGAATATCGGTGTCCATGATTATTGTCTGACATTGGCTTAGGAAGGTGCCTCATAGTTTCGATTAACCTGACTGCCCTCCCCTCTCCATCCCACTTTAGTGTAATCTTAGTGTGATGTGAGGAGCATTAATCTAACAATGATAATATGTCATTAATTCCCATGAGGTCCACATTACCTTTCAAGAAATTTTATATTTGAATTGAAAATTATACATTTTCTTGTTTGTTGCTGTATATACTTAAGAATTTTTCTTAGACACCGTTAAGCACATAAGCTGCACAAATAGGCATTTATATTCAGTTATGAGTTTCAAATGATCATCATCGTCACCTTCTTGCATGGTGATTTATGCATTAGACCAATAACTGAATGACATGGAGATTGGGTGGAGTGAATAACTGAATGACATGGAGATTGGGTGGAGTGAATAACTGAATGACATGGAGATTGGGTGG